TTAACACAGGTGAACAGAATGAACTAATCAGACACGAGGGAAAACTAGGTCAAGGGAAACATGAGGAAAGAAAACAAACTAAAAGTCCATGATAGTGACAATTACAAGATATAAACTCAGAATTCCAACTTTTTTCTTGCAATTCTGACTTTTTCTCTCAGAATTGTGGGATATAAATTCAGAATTGCGAGATATAAATACAGATTTACAAGACTTCAGAATTATGTTGCAAATTTATAATTCTGACTTTTTTTCTCATAATTCCACATTTCCATCTCACAATTCTGAGGTTATATCTTGCAGTTCTGACTTTATATCTCTCAATTCTGAGTTTATATCCCACAATTCTGAGAGAAAAAGTCCAAATTGTGAGATAAAAAGTTGCAATTCCTTCCATAGGGTTAGCACTACCACAAATGTAATTCTACAAACTTGAAGAATGAGTCTAAACTATTTTAAGTCATAAGCGACTTGGAAAATTCAAACTGGGAAAATTCTTTAAGCGTGCAATCGGTTATCCATACCACATATCTCCCTTAATAATGGATCTGGCTATCCTTTCATATCTTCTCTCAATTTTTACGTATTACCAGTGTACTGAAAGTGCTTTTTCAATGAAGAAGTAAAGGCAAGCATTCCTTCTTGTGCACACCTTTGAACTGAACACAATAGGATCGTCTACTGCAAAGATCTCACACTTTTGTTTGTCCATCCAGGAGTTTCTTCACGACATGGCGGCGACTGCAACAATAATACAGCGAGAATAAAAGTTACGCCTTCTTTTTTTGCGTGAACATTTGGGCGGCGTTATGCAAATCTTCCCACATCGTGACGTAGATATGTGGGGGCGTGTTAGAACGAGCCGTTTTAGGTAGGCGTGGTTGACTCTTAACTTTTATAAAGAATATCTCTTTGGATTTGAGACTTTAGTCTTTGCAACTTTACAGATCTTCTTTATGCACCAAGAGCTTGTAACACTCCAAAGAGAAAGGAAAAATTGAAATAGCATCATATGACCCCTTTAATAGGAAGACATTTTCTGTATATTTTTACAGGTGCTTTACCAGCATTTAGAATTTTTCACTTCATTTTAATGTTGACGTAAAATCAATGAACTGCCAGTACCTTTTCTGTTATTTCACAGATTAATTTTTTTATAGTGTAAATAAATAAATTCATTGTAAAAAGAAAAAAAAAAAATCTGTAGCACAAAGGTGGTTTAATCCAAATACAGGAATCTGACATGACAGAACAATTGCAAATACACATTTTAACAAATCCAATAATACAAAAATATTACTTTTGACTTTTGAACAGTAAACACTGATTCTCTAAATCCATGTTGTCAATTTAAACAGAACACAAACCCAGATGGGATATGACAACAAACATTAACTTAATCCTCAAACAAATAACCAAGAAGTGAAAAAACACTGAATTCGGTTGTTTAATTTAAATAAAGCTGTTGGGCTAAACTGCATTTCACAAAAAACTTTTGTAGCTGGTACTGCAACTGTCTCTCCTTTTACCTCTCCATAAACCAAATATCAAACCATAAAGACGGAAGCATTCAAAAAAATACAAGACAATGAGCAGCAGAGAAAAGCTGCTGGTGTTACACTCATAAAAATAATAATTTTTCTAAAAGTTCAAGGAAATCAGGGACAGCGTTACATTTAACGGCCACATTAGACACAAAAGTAAAGTTTGTATTGCACAAGACTTTTGCACAAGATGTCTTTGCCGTTTTTGCAGCATTACAGAATGATTGTTATCCAGCAATTTTTTTTTCTACTAGCTGTCTCTGAAAAGTGATTAAGGCAGATGAAGTGTCAGAATCACAAATAATAATAAATAAATAAAAACTGTTTTTGCTGACTTTTTAGAGCCCTCTCAGTACAATATTGTCTTAATATTTATAAGACCTTACTGTTGCTGTAAGAATCAGCAGCCATTATGGTTCATGTAGTATAAAGGCACTGGGAAAACTACATTAGTCTAGCTCATAGCATAGTATTTTATTTGAGCAAAGGCAAGCTATTTCTTTGGCCCCTAGCAGTCCTGGACTACACTTACACATTAAGGCACAATCATAATATACAGTGGTGCACGATCTCTAGCCTATCGCCATCATACTGGAGAAATCAGAACGCTGGTGTATGCAGTCCTCTGGAGTGATTGCAGCTCTGTCCTCTCTGGCGTGAGCGTTGAGTGTTGAGCGCATACACGTGTCTCTGGCTCCGCTCAGCCTGGTGTTTTGGGCAAGGAGGCAGAACTTGTGCCCGTTGCCCTCCGCAGGAGGAGGATGCTGGGCGTAGCTGTGCACTGTGTACATCAGGCACTTCACGGGCTTTTATAAAGCAGTCTCGAAAATAATCAAGCTGCCATCTCCTGTGGTGGCGAAGCCGTTGAGCTGGTGGACTGGACTGCGGTTCATGTACGCCTGTGAAAGAAAAGAAAGAGAGAACACGGTTAGCGTGATGTACAGTAATGGTCAAAAATGTGGAATAATTCAGATTTTTAAAATATTTTTTTAAAGTCTCAAGGGTGCATTTACTTGATTTTAAAATATAATAAAAACTAATATTGTGAAATATTCAGAATTCAAAAATAAAATAAGTTTTCTCTTTTAATATATTTTAAAATGTAATTTATTCTTGTGATGTAAAGCTGAATTTTCAGCATCATTACTCCAGTCTTCAGTGTCACATGATCCTTAAGAAATCATTCTAATATGTTGATTTGCCCAATTATTAATGTTTTTTTTATTGTTTTTAATTTCTTATTATAATTTTTTATATATATAAATTTTATAATTTATGTTGAAAGCAGTTTTTGCCGCTTAATGTTTTTGTGAAAATGATGATTTTTTTTTTTTCAGGATTCTTTGATGAATAGAACGTTTTTTTCCAACGATATAATTTGTCTGTCACTTTTGATCAATTAAATGCAAATAAAAGTATTATTTTTTTCTTTTTAGTCTTTTAATGGTAGTGTATCACGGTGTCCACATAAATATTAAGCAACAAAACTCTTTAATTTTTACTTTTCAACATCAATACTAAACATCGATTTAAAATCCATAATAATAAGAAATGTTTCTTGAGCAGCGAATCAGCATATTAGAATGATTTCTGAAGGATCATGTGACACTGAGGACTGCAGTAATGATGCTGAAAATTCAGCTTTGCATCACAAGAAAAAATTACATTTTTAAAATATTTAAACTGTAATAATATTTCACAATGTAACTGTTCTTACTGCATTTTTGATCAAATAAATGCAGCCTTGGTGAGCATAAGAGACTTCTCTCAAGGACATAAAAAATCCTAATCATTCCAAACTTTTTGACCAGTAGTGTATGTGACCCTTTAATGAGACCTGGAAATGGATGAAAGGCGTCACTCTGTTCCCAAACCTTCCCCGACAATGCTTTTCTAAACACAGGGGACGGAACACAGCAGGCTGAATGGAAGTAAAAATCCCCTCTTATTTAATATCATTCTTATGCAGTAATCAAAACCTCTCATTGTATTTAAAAGCACCCATGGCTAACAATGAGCGTAAAGACAAAAAGAAGAAAAAGCACCTGGTGTTGGCCCCTCCCCCCATCCCACCCCCCGCAGACACACAGAGAAAAGTCCCAACAACACAAAGCATGGCCGACAAACAGTTGGCCACACTATCAGATATACTCTCAATTGAGCCGGCATTCAGAGCGCACAATGGCGGAGTGGTCTAATATCAGGTAGATGTGTGCTTGAAAGCCCTGGCGGTCAGCTCCAGAGGGGCCGGTGCGGAGAATGAGCTCACCGGCTGAAGGAGGTGGAGAGGAACCCGATCCGAAGCGAGAACAACATGCCGCTGAGGAGGGGGAATCTAATACTGACTGACAGCACAAAGGCCTGGGCTCTTTCTCTGGGTTTCTGGCACAGGTACATGTGGGCACATATTTGGCAATCTGACAGGGCGGTATAATCGATATTAACCCGCTCTCCTGTGCTCTGCTCACCTGTTTGGCGGTCCGCAGCAGCGAGGCCGCTTCCGCCTTTCCCGTCTGCTGCACCATCTTGTAGAAGATCCCGTTCTGGTTCTGTAGGAGAACATGGGGGGCGTCGTACTCGTGGATTCGACCTTCATCCAGAACCTGCGAGAAAAACAGACATCTGTTTGTGATGCCTCCCATTTAGGACCATTTTGAACTTGTTCCATAAAATAAACACTAGAACCAAACAGATTTTGGTGAGATTTGGTGCTGCTAACTGCAGCAAATTCATGAATGAATGACTCACATGAACTGGTTCTTTTTAATGAATCAAACAAAAATACTCAGTCAGTCATACTCTTGAGTTAAAGCTTTGAATTAGTTTAATGACTCACTCGCTGACTGCTACTGTGATGTGCATTTAGGTTCGTAAAACTAGTGTAGTTTCTGATCATGTAATATAAAGCATATACAAAAAGGACCATAAAAGTACTTTGTGGTAATTAATGCTAAATTTATTGTGCCGTTTTGTTTTGTCCTTTTTTGAGCTTGATGGCTCCTGGTATATACAGTAGGTCCCAATATATAGTTTTGTTGTATGGTAAAAAGCAGCATGAAAACTCATACTTCAAAACTATATGTTTTGAATTTCACTGAAGAACCATGCAGGTTTGGAATGATAAAAGATTGAGAAATCATGTAAATTATGACAGAATTGTTTTTTTTAACTAGGGCCTTTAACCCTCATAATGCATTCAAAACCTGTATATGATTTCATAACTTAATATTTTTCAGTTAAAACCATATTGTATCTGATTATTAACTTCTCAATCAATGAATGCACACAAAAAAAAAAATCAGTTTTGAATGTTTTTTTTTACCATATTATTACCATGTTATTGCTACATTTACACCTTTTAAATTTTTAATAAAAAGAAATTGAGAAATTCTTTGAAACTTAAAATTTTACAAGAATTACAAAAAAAAAAAAAAACACTGAGAAATGTTATTTGAAAATATTATTTGAAATATATTAATCTCAGAATTACCAGTATAAACACCATTGAAATCTATGGATTTTATTAAATTCCACTGAACACACAGTCCAAATTTATATAACCAGCTAATTCACTTTCTAAAAAAAAAAAACCCTCAGCATTACTCCAGAACGTTTACAAATATCAAGCGTAGCGTTAGTTCTGGCAGGTCACGTTAGTCAAGCTCGCATCAGCTGACTTTCAGCTGATCCCCATCTACCTACGGGAATACAACACCTATCTAAGCATTCATATATAAGGTCCCTCAGTATTATCAGCAGTTTTTGCATTGCTCAATAGCTAATTACCCTCCTCCATCCCCAGCTCCGCCTCTGTCAGTCGGGATTCAGCCTTCTGATTCTCCTTTGAATCAGACTAATTCTAAAATGTGTACATAAAATTACTGAACTTTAACAATATCTGCAATACATTTATGTTGGTTCTGTTCTGTTTACCCTGGGGGGGTTATTGCTGCTCTCCCTGCTCTCACCCATGCTAGGCAGCATGGATGCGCAGGGAGTTCTTGCCCAGAAGAGAACCATACCACCAATTCAAACTGTATGCTAATTGTCAATCATCTTTGACGATAGTTGTCCTGACAGAAATAATCATTCTATTTGGAATCATTTTCAATCAGTTCAATCAGTTCATCAACAGGTGTGAATATTCATGAAATATGGGAAAGAGGCTAATCATATTTTTCTAAAGCATTTTTGAGACGAATCTAAATCGTAAAGCCTCAGCTGATGTTTGGGTTAAAATGGACCTGAAAATAACTTTTTTTTTTTTAATGGTTATGAAATTATGTAAATTAAATGTGTTTAGATAGCCTTGGCTCCTTTGCAAAGACTCTTCCAGGTTTACACATCTCTTCCAGGTCTAAATGGACCTGAATGCATTATGATAAAGAGCTCCATCTCTGCACTCACCAGGATGCGGTCGCTGTCTATGATGGTGTTGAGTCTGTGTGCGATGGTGAGGACGGTGCACTCCTTAAACTTGTCACGGATGGTTTTCTGGATCAGCTCGTCCGTCCTGTAGAACACATACATTTCTGTTCTCTTATATAGGTCCTTCAACAACCTCAGAGCCAAGTCAAAGGTAGCTAGGTAAAAGACTCACCGAGGGTCCACATTTGCAGTGGCCTCATCAATAATGAGAATCCGGTTCTTCCTCAGAATGGCCCGAGCTAGACAGACGAGCTGCCGCTGACCCATGCTGAAGTTTGATCCGGACTCGGCCAGTTCGGTCTCCAGTTTATTAGGCAACTCCTCCACAGCAGCCTTCAGCTGGACCTTTGAGCAAAAAAAGCACAGATTCACTCCAAGAGCTGGACTTTGAGATTGCTTAATAATGTATTACATCTATAATCATCACATAAATCTACTGAGGGAACTTCACTTTAGAAAATGGACTTATGAACCCGTTTGACCCAGATCTATACGATCCGTCACATGTGGATAGTGTTAAATAAATGTTTTGTGATCAGATTACACAAATGTAACATATGTGATGAGATTAAAATGTGGAGAAACAAATTCAGAAGCAACACAGCGCCCACATTTTTAAAACTTTAAAACATGTAGAAACACTCTGACGTGGTGGACGATGTACAGTATTGATTAACAGGTTGTTTGTTGCCGTTACAAGGAGTGTGTGCGTGTTCACCTCTTCCAGAGCATTCCATAAGTCACGGTCTGAGTGCTGGCTGAAGGGGTCCAGGTTCTTCCTCATGGTTCCTGTGAACAGCACGGGGTCCTGCGGGATGATCGACATCTTCTGGCGGAGGTCATGCAGGCCGATCTCGGAGGTCAAGACTCTGTCCACAATGATTTTACCCTCTGGCTCCATCAGTCGGAACAGTGCTGAAATCAGGGAGCTTTTTCCTGCACCGGTCCGCCCAACGATTCCAACCTGATCAATTCAGAGCAGAAAACATTACTGCACGCGTCCTGACAGACTCACATTATGTTCTGGAGCGGCGGCACCGGACTCACCTTCTCTCTGGGTCTGAACATGGCCGAGATGTTCTTGAGGACGACAGGTCCATCAGAACTGTAGGAGAAGTTGACCCTGTCAAAGGTTATCAGACCCCGGTTTGGCCAATCGGGAGGGGGGCGTTTTGGGGTTTCCCAAGGTGCTTCACTTTCTAGCTCTGTGTATTCGACGACTCTCTCCACTGATGTCATCTAGAAGGACACATTATTCACGAAAGCAAATCAATTTATGAGGGGGTGACAGGTTTACCTTGTCGGGTAGATTTAAAATATGAATCAATTTAGCTCTGTTTCTACATAGGAAGCTGCCTTTGAAGGCAGAAAGCTTTACCATGTGCATCAACCTACAAGGAACTTCACAGCTCACAGAGCTGAGATGCTCTATATAGGCAGCAACTTGCACACACATCACAGAAATAGTGCTTCCGATTGATTAGTATGTTGTTAAGCAAACAATTCAATACTCCCAATAAGCACAGTACTTTCAGTTCTTTGAAGTACTAAATAAAACAAGCATATGTGACCCTGGACCACAAAACCAGTCTTAAGTGTCATTAAAAAATTTTTTAGATTTATACACCATCTGAAAGCTGAATAAATAAGCTTTCCATTGATGTATGGTTTGTTATGATAGGACAATATTTGGTCGAGATACAACTATTTGAAAATCTGGAATCTGAGGGTGCAAAAAATCTAAATATTGAGAAAATCACCTTTAAAGTTATCCAATTGAAGTCCTTAGCAATGCATATTACTAATCAAAAATTAAGTTTTGATATATTTACGGTAGGAAATTTACTAAATATTTTCATGGAACATGATCTTTACTTAATATCCTAATGATTTTTGGCATAAAAGAAAAATCTATAATTTTGACCCATACAATGTATTTTTGGCTATTGTTACAAATATACCCCAGCGACTTGAGACTGGTCCAGGGTCACATATATATTAGTCTGTTCAATTCAGGTTCATAATTCAGAGTTTCTAAGTCCTAAATAATTACGCGGAGGACATTTATGATGCTAAATGTTGTAGGTACCCGTCTACACTTTGAACAAATCTATAAGCATCAAGTAAAATAAGCACCAGAACAGTAGGCAAGGAGGAGGTACACTACCGTTCAAAAGACTTAGGTCAATAAGATTTTTAGAAATTAACCTTTTTTTCAGCATGGATATAGTACATTGATCAAAAGTGTGAAGACTTTTACACTGCTATTTCTATTTCAAAGAAATATTTTTTACACAAAAATATTAAGCAGCACAACAGTTTTCAACATTGATAAGAAATATGTCTTGAACAGCGAATCAGCATATTAGAATGATTTCTGAAGGATCATGTGACACTGAAGACTGGAGTAATGATGCTGAAAATTCAGCTTTACATCACAAGAATAAATTACATTTTAAAATATATATTACGATAGAAAAAGTTATTTTAAACTGTAACAATTTCACAATTTAACAGTTTTATTGTATTTTTTATTAAATAAATGCAGCCTTGGTGAGCATAAGCAAAATTTTACAGGCCCTAAATGTTTGACTGGTAGTGGAAATTTCAGTAAATTCAGATATTAAGTTCTTACCATGTTCTCCACCTCAGCACTCTGTCTAACGCCCCACTGGAACATTCCCATTAAGGTGACTGCATAAGACAAAGCCAATCCCACATCTCCCGCCTTCATACCTGTGAGAACCAGACACAATCCTTTCACAAACTGGTCTCAAAAAAAGACATTTATCTGGCATGAATATATGGATGTGAAACAAAGTTAATCTAAAACCCTGGTAAAGATGTTCCCACTGACAGTGAAAAATAAAAATACATAAACCATTGTTTCAAATCAAATTTGGAAAACAATAAAAGAATATTAATTCCTGAGACATGGAACGTCCCACATCACACCTGAAATATTTTCACTTTCAAAGGAAACAGATGCTTACCAGACCATCCTTAACCCAAATGTGTCATGTCATTTGATTTTCTCTTTTTAAATTTGATCAAAATTATGACATTGTCACTTCATTCTTCATATAGAATAAATTAAATTACACTTAAGAAAAACAAAACAATGTATAACATAACCACTTAAAAGTTTGTGGGAAAAAATTTGCTTTTATCGGTCGATACCGATTATTGGCCGATACATTTGTGCATCTCTAGTATATATATATATATATATATATATTAGGGTTGTGACAGTGAGGAAATTTTCCCACCGGTTAATCGACGTGTGACAACACCGGTAATACCAGTATCACCGTGGGGGCGGGGCGTTCCCTCTTTTCCTTCGCTTTTAAATAGCTTGTAAAAGCAAGC